TTCTTACGATGATCATCCCACATTTGATTTTTACTTCTTAAGTTATGGGATTTTTTCACCCCTTTCATGTCTGTGACGGTTTTGGCAAGTAAGCAACGTCATGGTCATCCGAATCGAAATTCTAATTTTTCTAGACTCATAATTTGCAAATCTCCTCAATGATAATCAGTCTAGTTTGTTTTTTTCTGTTCTTAGTTGCTTTGCAAACGTCATGGCCATTATATCGAATGATATTCTCCTCCTAAACGTCTTCTTCATGACTCTGACGACGTCGGAAAACTAGCGTATTAACCAGTTCCCGCCTCCATTCTGCACGCACATTTCCACCTCTATGAGCGTTTCGACCGATGTCAAAACTGCACTACACTGCAGGATGTGCGTAACCGGATATATTTGGCGCACATACACGACGATCGGTCCTAAATTCCATCCGCGTTGATGTTGTTGTGCCGTCCTATTAATACCGTGGTGTGTGTATGTGCCATTCAAACGGTCGATCGTTTTTTGCACTATCTCTCTCTCGGCTCGCCGCTCTTCAGAATCATTGACCGTTATAATGTTTCCAATTTTTTCTCTAACATTACAACAGTAGATGATTCGACACTATGTGTGTGTAGGAGATATGAGCACGAACATCGATTTCGACGACGACGACGAACACGCTCGGGTAGCATTTTCTTGAGACACGGAGAGACAGAGGGAGAGATAGGAAAGAAAGTAAACGTCACACATCACTGCTGCTGGTGCGCCTCAGCGACGCCGCCACGGTAAGAGAGAGATCGTTCGCTGGCCGTAGCCTCTCTTCTTCGGCCCTGCATAGGTTCAAGGACATCATCCACACATCGCGGCCCTTCGGGCCGACGAGACGCCGGTTCATCTCATCTCAGTGTCGAGACATTCTTTATCCGACTCATCTACACTTATTCATTTCACACCTCCAGATAAGGTAGACAGACTTGAGAGAGGAAAAATAAAACTTTATCCTCTCCCAAGTCCCTTCTCTAGTGGAGGAATAGGAATTGAACAGATAGAAGAGCTTTCATCTCTCTTAACCAAATTCGAATTGCACTTTCATAGGTCACCTGACCTTCTTCCTCTTACGGCTCAAAGTGCCGACATCAATATACTATACCTCCACTGTTTCTTTGTTTACTTTCTCTTCGAGTATCAATTTTGCATACACTGAAGTACGCTATTTGGACACACTGTGGAGAACTTGACACATTCTCGTGTGTCCACACTTTCTCTCACAATCCTGTTCTTGATGTGACTCCAAATTTTCCATAGTTGAAATCGATTTTGGTGGAGCTAGTTCTCTGCGGAATTCATCTCTCTTCAGTGAGATTTGTGTAAGTCTTCTGATCTTCGTATTTCCTCCGCTTTTTAGCTAGTCTAGTCAGTTGGTCGACTGACTTTTGTCGATAACTCCTTCGGCTGGAACGTACGAAAAGCAAGTTCCACTTGTCATTAATTAATTATTTTCTCTCGAACTAACCACCTCATCAAAATTCTGCTGGCAGTAAGTTCGTCTCTGACATCCGACTACTACAGCCGCGTATGTGCAACCGGTTCGCTGTACAAACTTTTTTCCTTCGTTACAAAACAGATTTCCAACATCGGAAAACTATCTGTTGTACTTGACACTCGTCGCTGGCGCCATCTCTGCCAGAATGGCGTGAAAATATTTACTTCTAACAAAATATTTCGTCCATCACTTCCGCAAATCAGCAACACGCTCCCTTGCGTGTGTGTGATGGCGGTGTATTTGTGTGTATGAGCGACGTCTTTCAGTAGCCACACCCAATGTGAAAACGAGTAGGTGGCTGGCCTGGTAGGTAGAGCAGGTGGCAGTTGGACGAATAACAGCACTTTTTCACATGTCGTCGTTTGTGCCCTCGATTATGATATTCTCTCATTATTCGGTTATTCGCTTCTTCGAGCGGATATGGGGCCAACAAGTCACTTTTCGTTAGTGCTGCGTTCGTTTGCAGATTCAATCTTTTGCGAATCTAAGTGTGTCACCGCTATTTCCGTTATTTTTCCGGGGCGATTACACACCCGCCCAAAACTTGGACAGATTTACTTCTTCTCTTCGACAGACGCGTGGCCTTTACGCCTTTCATGACTCTTTTTCAGCATCTCTTTTCTCATGAGTCTTGGCCATAAATTATTCATGTGCTATGTGAGAGAACATTTTTAGATGCTTCGCCCTGAAGACGAACCTGCCACAACAACAGTCGATTTAGGCCCGGCAAAAGATATCCAACATACCGACGACTACACTAAACCCGCACAAGCAAGGTCAGTTCGTCAGTCTGTTCTAATCCGACACGAATGAGAAAAATTTCGGTGCGTCTATGCGCTCGTCGGCGCTCATCGACACCGATATCGTGTCCCTTTTCCTACATTTCATTTCGTTGATTGAGAAGTTTTATTGAGTCCATCAATTTTTTGCCATTTTTAGCCCAGTTCAAAAGGATAAGAAGAAACTGCAATTCCACATGGCCAACAAAATTCAGATCATTCCAAATAATCGACAGGGTCAACTCAATACCGGATATTTAGGGACAATCGGTGGCGTGCTGAAAATTGCCGAAATTGTAGGTCATTCTTCCAATTTTTTTTCGCCATTTTCTGATCGATAGAGAAGAGAAAAAATGAGAGAAACTCTTTTCATTTCTCCTATCGATCACTTAACAATTGTCAAGCACTGTTTACTGCAAAGCCAACGGCATCACAACCGGCTCGTTTTTTGTCCCAGAGCTGCTGAATTGTAAAAGTCTAACAGCAAATGGAGAAAACAACCAAAATAGCAATAACAAAGAGACTGTAACCTTCGCAGTTTTGCGCAGAAAAACTCCTAGCCAAACCTTTGAATTACCATTACCTTTCAAGTAGCACTTGTTTAAGTAGCATACTTGAGTTTACAAACTTTTACGAACTTTTTTCTTCTTCAGACATTTTTCTAACTTGCAGATTCTGTCTTTCGTCGCTTTTATACTGGCCATATGTGCGGATAGAAGGTCTACAACCGCAGCATGGACCGAACATATCACTTTCGAGACGATGATCGTTGTTTGTGTGTTACTTGCCGGTTATGTTTGCTTTCCACATCTTACAGTTCGTGAGGAGCCGACTAGAGAGGGATTGATCGTTGTGGTTCGTTTTTTTTCCACATTTTTTACACATAGGGTCATTTATTTCAATCTCCAGCCACTAATGGGCAGAAATTTCCCGCATTTCGCTAGGGAGAAGCTCCCAGAATTCTTCTCAAACTAGCTGCAAGCAAAGCCTCCTCCGAACCTCCGCTTTACAGCATTCCCATTTTTCTCCCAAAAAGCTTCCTTTTAGACATTTCTTCCCGCTTTTTTTCCCACGCGAACACTTTCGTAATTGTTTTCCGTGCATCTGAGCTGCATTTCATGAATGCACTTCGACTTTTTATGTTTTCGCGCATCGACTTGAGTTTACGCGCAGACTTTCGGGAGTTTTTTGCCGGGAAGATTTATTCCCGGACTACTTCGAAAACGTAAAACGTAACCTTCGGGGTCAACGACTTCATCGTGGATACCGTCGTTTTCGAAGTTGTAAACTTCTCCTTTTTAGGAACTGCTCTTCTATGGGATCAATACCTTATTCTACTTCATTTCAATCTGGTTGATGGTACATTTATCAGCTAGTTGGGGTACAGATGGACG